TTTCAATATGTTTCACATTGAACATTATTATGTTTTTATCATTTTTATGTTGATAGATAAGAGAATATTTTATTTGAATTATTATCATCTGATTATTTAGGATAAAAAGCACAAGATTTGATGTTTTGTTTTTTCAAAATACTATTACATTTTAATACTCATAATCACAAAAATTATTAAATTATTTAACCATTTGTTTAAACGATTTGCTTACTTAAATTTTATAAATAAATCTCACCTACCAAATTTTTACTATTATTAAGTATTCATCAATTAGGAATTAAAAACAACTTTTATTGTTTCTCCATTTCTTTTCAGATTAATTTTAACCTTTTTAGTACATTTCTTAAGATTTTCCTCTATTAATTTAAACATAGGCTAATATATACCACAAGGATAAACTTCGTTATTAAATGTTCATTTGAAAATTTTAATACTATTTTTATTTTTTAACATTTATAAATATTATGTGGTTATCAATCCTAAAATAATCTTTCTTGATTTCAAATATCATTTACTTCCTCCATCTTAATTAAATAGCTTTTGATTCCTCAAATTACAATTAATCGATTTTTTTGGATTAAAAATATTATAATATCAATTGTTTATATTGCTTATGCTTATAATAATATAATAAAATTTCTCCTTATATCTTTTCTATCATAAAATGAAAATTTTGAATGGCCTTCATATATATATATAGCAGACCATAAGAATTGGTATTGATAAAAATTATCTTCCAACAAATTTTATTCAAATATTAAGTTTTTTATTTTAAATCAATTTTTAAATAATGTAAAATGTTGTTATTGAATACAAAAAACTTTCAATGGATACCTTAATAAAACTGAATTTGATTTTATTTTAATTATAAAAGTATTCATTCTTAATTTTCATTGATCATTGATTTGATAATCAGATTTAAAATAAATTAAATTTTCAATTATTCAAATATTTTTTAGGTTTAAATGCCTCAGAAACTTCTTGTTTTTCAGAAGAATCCTATACTTCTTATTGTGAGAAATATAGTTCAAGATTATTCTCCAAATTTAAAAATGGTAAATTAAATAGATTTCTAAATTAAAGCTTAAATATCTAATACTTATAATACTTCTAGTTAATTTAAAAGTTAAAATTTTAATAGTTTATTCATGAAACGTTTTATATTAAAAATGAATGAATCTCCACCTAATTATCAAGTTAGATCAAATAATATCTTTAATTGAAATTTCAAATATCAAATATAACAATAAAAGATTAATAAATTAATTTAATATGATTTAGGATTCTTAAAGTATAAGCCTTGAGAATGAGAATTAAACATAAGGTAATAAATAATAATTTATAATAAAAGAATCAAAATAACAATTTGAAGAAATAAAGGAAGGAACAGAATATCTTATAGGAAATCCATATAGAACTAATTATAATGTTGATTATTTTGATAATGGAAATATTATGTATATTAAAGATGGAGAGATTATTAAAAGGTGAGGTCTTTATAAATACATTATTAGGGATAGAATATGTGATCAATCAAGGAATTCTGAGATATACACTAATCTTGAGTAAATTAAATATTTAGTTTGGAATGGGGAATATAATTAGAAAAATCAAAGAATCGGTAAATGGAAAGCCTTTTGGAAAAATGAAATATTAAATGCAGGTGGAGAATTTGATGAAAATGGAAAGAAAGTAGGAAATTGGATTGAATTATTTGAAAACTTTTGTGAGTATATTTATTATTTAAGATAGAAATGCTGAAATCACAAATGTTGGCGAGTATAAGGATGGGAAGAAAAGTGGAAAGTGGAACTTATTTTTTAAAGATAAATTAATGTAATTAACACTTTCTTATTATATTTAAGAGGTGGAGGAAATTATGATGAAAGTGGAAAAAAAACTGGATAGTGGATTGAATTGCATACTAATTTTAATTGGTATGTTAAAAGAATTGTTTTATTATTATAGTTTATGCTAAGTAACATATTTAGGAGAATATGAAAATGGGAGCAAATAAGGAAAATGGATTGCAAGATTCAAAAATCAAGAAATGTAAATTTAAATATAGAACTTAGTGGAGGAGGACAATATAATGGGAAAGGAATTAAAATTGGAAAATGGATAGAAATAAGTAACAATTTTTAATAGTTATTAATAGATATAGATTTATCATTAGAGAATCTTAAATTCTAAATGTTGGAGAATACAACTAAGGAGTAAAATTTAGTAGATGGGATATATTATTTAGAGAAGCATAAACTGAAGAATTTACAAAAATGTATACAATTTATATTATTTTTTAAGAGGAGGAGGAATGTATAATGAAGAAGGAATTTAGGATGGAGAATGGATAGAATTACAAGAAAATTACTAAAAGTATTTGAAAATACTGATTTTTTAAGCGATTGCAAGATAATTTTAGTTGGATAATACTCAAGTGGAAAAAAAATAGGAAGATGGAACGCTTTTTATTTAGAGAATATTATGTAATAATTCAAATCACATTAAATAAGAGCTGGAGGAGAATATAATTAAAATGGTTTGAAAACTGGTGAATGGATCGAACTAAATAACAATTTCTATAAGTATAATATTCCTTAATTTATTCATAGTTACAGTTAAACCATTTTTAAGGGTTAATATAATAATGGAAAAAAATAAGAAAGATGGGATGTATTTTGTAGATATGATCAAGAAAAATAATTTGAATAAATGTAATTAAATAAATGTTATAAAAAATAGAGGAGGAGGTAATTATGATTAAAATGGAATAAAAATTGGCTTATGGATTGAGCCTATAGATCATATTTGGAAGTATTTAAAATAAGAAATATCAACTTAGCTTGTCCTAAATAATTTAAAGAGGATAATATCAAAATAATTAAAAGAAATATGGAAAATGGGAAACTTTATATAAAGAAGAAAATTCACAGTAATTTTAAATCATGTAATTAGTCATTAATTATATTTAGAGCAGGTGGAAATTATGATGAGAAAGGTTTAAAAACTGGAGAATGGGCTGAGGTGGATTAGAGATTCTCTTAGTATCAAAATACTTTATTGTTAGTTCTTGCTAAGTCATTTAAAGAGGTTAATATTTTTAAGGAAAAAAGGTTGGAAGATGGAATTCACATTTCTGGGAGAAAATTATGTGATTAACATTTCTTATATTTAGAGGAGGAGGATTATATGATGACCATGGTTAAAAAAATGGATAATGGATTGATCTAGATGAAAATTTCTCATAGTAAATCTTATTATAAACTTATTAAAGTATTAGGTAATTAGTGTTTGTTGGTGATTACAAAAATGGATTTAGAATTGGCTAATTTAAAGAAAATAATTTATAATGAGATAAATTACAAATAATTAAATAAAGCTTATTATTAGGATTTTATTATTATAAAAATTATAGGGTTTTTTAAACACCAGTTTTTATTATTTTTAGTTTTCTAAATTTTATTAAGGAGAATTTATATAAAAAAACAAAGAGGTAACATTTTTGCTCTTTATTTAACTATTTGACTTGAAATTTATGAAAGTCATTAGTTTTACAAGTTAGAAATTTATTTTAATTAAGTAAAATTATACTAATAATAACTATTAAGATTAATTTATCGAAAGCTTTTATGTAATAACAAAATTTTAGGAGAGCATCCCTAAAAATTAAGAAATTTTTTCCTCAGCTTACAAATGCATGAGAAGACAATATATTTTAGAGTTCAAGTAGAGTATGAAAGTTATATTTAAAAAAAATAATGCTTATAAATTTTAGAAGATTAGTTGTGAAAATTTAGGTGAATGAAGGTTAGCTATAAAAAAAGAGTACGAATAAAATCATTAGATGAGATCCCATATTGAATAGTTTGACTGTACTCAAGCAAATACAGTTTCCTTATAGAATAAAGAACAAAAGGTATACTAAGATTTTAATTGATGGCTAATAAATATAATAATCTATAAGATATTTGTTGATCAACAGTTATCTTGTTGTTTTTTTTGGAAATGTTTTGTAAAAGTTCTCAAAGTTAATTGTAATTAATAAATAGCAAAGCAAAAAAATTATTTATTTAAGTAAGGAATTGATTATCAATTATTAAAATAAGTACATTTAAAAATTTTAAGAGCTATTTGTAAATGAGATAATTAAAAAGTTATAATACAAGAATAGGAAAAAATTTAATTAAAATTCACATTTTTACATAATAAAATACGATAAGAAAGAGCCAATCGTGTATTTTTAAGTTGCCTAGTTACAAAAGGTAAACTTGAAGAAAGAGGGGTGTGTAGGGATATTAAAAGACCAAGTGATGAATTTAATTGTGTTACTGGATATACAGAAGGGAGTTAAATATTTTTATATATTAAATGCATGTCAGAAGAGCATATCCATCATATGAAGTTGTTTATTATTGAAAAAACTAATATTTTTATCATAATGATTATGTCTATCTCTTGCGAAATTTATAAAATTTATAAATACTTTTATGTATTTTATTTACTACTTTTTTTATTAGAGACTAAATTTCTTTCACCTTTGAAAGTTTGTTAGATTAAAATAATTGATTGTTTATTTTATTGTAATTTTTTTTTAAACCTAATTTAAATTAAAAGAAAATCGATTACTTACTATCAACTTAACTATTTATTGTATTTTCTTTTATCCTCATAATTCAAAAATTCATCACTTAATTCAATCTAATTTCTACTCTCAACAGAAATAGTCTGCATTAAAATCATATAAAGACCATCATTTTTTTTTAACCAAATTAATACCTTTTTCATACATTTAATTAAAATATTTAACATCCACCTAATTCAAAAAAAATTCTTCNAAAATTTATTGATTGGCAAGGAAGAAAAAAGAAGGGTTTTATAAATCCTATGACTTAGTAAATGTACAATATACATCAAAAATGGTGGGACAACTATAGGGAGAGAAGATAGTCATTTGAGTTGATTATTTTTTATTAAAATAAAAATTTGAAGAGCCATTTAAAAAAGAGATAATTAAAAGTTATAAGCTTACAAATAATAATTGAAATAAAATTATTAATTTTAAATATCATCATTATTATCAGAATATATTTACTTTAAAAATTAAAGCATTTAAGTTATAATAAAAAACAGGAGAAAAATTTAATTAAAATTCGCATTTTTCCATAATAAAATATGATAAGAAAGGGATTAAAATAAGCTACTTTAATGTTAAAATTTTTATAATTTTGGAAAGATATTTATGAATTTTTAAATTAAATTTATTGAAATCTATATTTTTTATATTATCTCATTCTCTATGATTATAATAAAAAAAGTTATCTCCTCTAAAAATATGAAAATGACCTTATAAATTTATTAGTACATTTTAACAAATCCATCATTTATTTGTGTAAAATCTCTTCTCATCTCATCCCATCTACCCACCTTTTTTCCATTTTTATATTAACCACTATAGATGACTTAATTATCACTTTAGTAATATAGACTTAAATACTATTTGAAAATATCACTAATTTCAATTCATTTTCCATTTTTATAAGATTGCTAGTCAAAAATTCCTCCACCACTATAAAAAAGTGATAAAAATGGTTTAGTTACATTTAATAAAATGAGATGCCTATATATTCCCTCCAAAGAATATCTGATATCCCAAAATATTTCCCATCTTTATATTCACAATAAAATATGCATTAATTTCCACTAAACTATCAATAAATGTCTATACTTTTCATAATTTTCGCTCAACTCAATCCATTTTCCAATTTTTAAATTATTCACAGAATAATATCCTCCACCTCTAAAATTTAATAACATTATTATATGCTTTATTACATTATCAGAAATGGATAACATTTGTTCAATCTCCATTATATATTCCATTTTCCAACTTTTTTGCTATTCTTATATTCACCAATATAAATGACCTAATTTTCCCTAAATTATAAATAAATTATCTATTACATATTAAAATTATCACTCATTTCAATCCAAGTTCCAATTTTTGTGCCTTAATCATTATATAAGCCACCACCACTAATATTTAAAAAGTTTTCAATTTATATACATTTGTTCAAATTCATTTATTTCATAATAATTTCTCCAACTACTAATCCAACGACCAACTTTATTGCCATTCTGATATTGACCACTAAATATAGATTAGTTGTAACTAAAAAAGAATTATGAATAATTTTATCTATTACTCCAAAAAACCATCACATAACTCAATCCAAATTCCATTTGTCATATTATTCTCATTAAATGAACCACCACCACTAATAGATAAAGAGTAATATTATTATTATTTTAGATACATTTATTCAAAAACATTAATTCCTTATGGAATCTTCCAATTTATATCCCATTTGCCGATTTTTTGACCATTTTCATATAAACCTTTATAAATGACTTAACTTAAACTAAAGATATGAAAATATTAAAACTCCCAAAAATTTTTGCTTAATGTCCTCCAATAACCAGACTTTTAGCCTAAATTGTTATAGAATCCACCACCACTGAGTTAAAACCTTAATATTATCATAATACATATTTATGTCTCTGTAGATATACATCCAATCTCCACATTTTCTATTATCTTGGTATTCTCCAAATTTAAAGGCTTGGGTTTGACTAATATAATATAAATATTGTTGAATTCACCTACAATAATTCTAAAATAATTCTTTCCAAAATCCAATTTTTTTTCCATCATTTGAATACAAACCTCCTACATCATTCAAAATTTGATCTTTCCAAGAAGCAGTCCAATTCCCAATTTTTTAAGATTAATCTCCATAGCTTCCTTGCCATTAAAGATGTTTGATTTATTCTATATTCATAAAAACTTAAGGTTTGTTGGATGCATTTTTGTTTTAATCGCTTGCAATCAATATTTGAAAACAAATACATTCTCAAAATTTATCTATCTGAAGTCATATACTCAAATTAATTGTTAATTTGAGAGATTATATAATAAGTCTAACTAAATTTCAAATATCTTTGATCAAATATGACACCTTCATACTCTTGAATGTTTTTTACTTATTTTTCATTAATTCTTTCCTCTTATAAATCAATTCTTAAATTACAATTTTAATTATATACTTAGAATTTATTTATAAATTGGTAATATCTTCCTTAAGTATTTCATTAAATCTTTTTATTTATTTATTAAGGAAGCTCTTAATAAACTATAATTAAGAGATAAAAGCCAGTTTTTTGTTTATCTAAATTTCCAAATGTTTTCCTTACAAATTTTGTACTATTTAATTAATCTCTATTTTTGAAATTTTTTAAGGATTGCCAATTGAAATCATAAGATTAGAGTAAATCTTTTCTTCATTCTCTATCATATCTTAAGTATTTTAAAGGTATTCTCTTAGGTGTTATTTTATTTCATTAGTTTAGCTTTCGATTTATGACATTAAAGGCTTAATTTCAATATCAATGTTTATTAATTACGAATTATATTGTATTAATAAATCTTAAAACTTTGAATTGATCTATTCTTGGAAATTTTGAAGAGGAAGTAATTAATTTGGATTTACATCATGTTCAAATGAGCAATTTATACAAAGTTTTCTTTAGCAATTATGCTGTGCTATGCATATGAAAGTAATAGGGGTATTAGGATGATCTGAGCAATTGTTCATTTGATTTATTGATTTATATAAGATTTCTAATTTTAATTTTGTGGATTTTTAAAACAACAAAAATTGTATCCGCCCAATAATATAAATAATTTTGCAGTATTTTTATTATTTTGCCAATGAAATTAATAATGAGGGTTTATTCAAAAATATTAAAAGTTAACTTAATGATTATTAAAATAGAAATATAAATATAAATATATATATTTCAGAAAATTTGTTGTTGGTTAATCATAATCAACAATCAGAATGAGTTCCAATCGCCATTTATATTATATTCACTACCATGTAATATTGAGAAAAGAAAGAATTTTAAATGATATATTTATTGATTTTATTTAAAGCGTTGATTCACTCTTAAATTAATTACGAAGAAATAATTAAAATTACTTGTATACTATAGTACTTTTGAATAATGAAGATCCATTATTAATTTTGATTTCTTACTTAATTATAAATCATATACATTAT